CAAAGAATAATGTTTTAATATGAACTTGTGTTTCAGATGTTTTCTACTGCTTATGAATCTTAAAAACCTTGTGTCCTAAGGGTGTATGTTTGTGTGTGTGTGTGTGTGCGTGTGTATATATACATATATGTATATGTGTGTGTACATATATATATACACACACACAAGCACAGAGAGGAGAGTGATTATTTTTACATTGTAAAATATAATAAAACACTGCTTAAAATTATATAATATCAGTAAGACAGATAAGCTATTACTATGCTCAATACTATGTGAAAAAGGTGAGTGAAAAATTCAACTGCTGTAAATTCTCAACACCTCTTTCCCCTCTTGTAATCAATATTGGTTCCATTTTCTGTTCCTAATAGCAAGAGCCTTGTCACAAAATTTAACTATAACCAAATGCTTTCAAAAAAAAATTTATATATATATCATGCAGCATTCTTTATTTGAAAATTTAATTTTACTGGATATATTGACAAATAAATTAGAAGTAGGAAATTTGGGTCCTCTTCAAATCATAGGGTTAGAATGAACCCTGATTAGCTAGCGTCTCTCTGATAAATCTGTGTCTTTGTCATCCTATAAAATGGGCTTTTTCCACTGTTTATTGGGAAGGAGAATTATTTATCTTCAGTGTCCTATTTCTTCACTAGTAGGAGGCATTTTGTATTTGTGCTGTTTCTTTGATTTTTTTTCATCATGATGGTTCTTGGTTATTGGTTTGGGGGTAATGATGGTTTACAGTGTGGTGTGTAGAGAAAGCTTTGACCATCGTACTGCAAAATACTTTGTCACTGACATGAAATAAAAATGTCCTTTAATGTTATGTAAGAAAACCAGTGTTTCCTTTGTCAGTGGCTATAGGTTTAGGGGATAGTTTATTTTTCTCTTCCAACTTTCCAGTTTCTCTCTCTCTCCCCTATCATTAACTACTTGAGTAGAATCAAGTTTTTTTAGTACAAAACATAATAATTTTGCATAGTAACTATACTTGGCTGTTATTTATGTAGGTAGTAGGTTCAAATGATTGTTCTGAAAACATTCAGCCCTTCCCTTTGCTACTTTAAAGTTTTCAGTATGGTCATGTATCAACTTTAATAATAAGGTCTGCTCCCCGGAAGTTGCATTGTTAATAATTTACATGAAATACCCTTTGGAGGTTAATATACAGGTAGAAAAAGGGACATTAGATCATGAAGCCATGATGGCAAAGTACCTAGTTCTGTCCCAAGTAAATCAGTGAGTGAACGTTTCCTTCTCTCTAGGACTCAGTTTATTTATATAGCAGTAGGTGGAACTAGATGTTCTCCTATTAACTTTCCAGGTATAAAATTTTGTTTCTATTTCTATATCTGAACTGTACCTTTCATTTGATAATCTGTCTTTAGGTTTCATTCTTAATGTTTCTAAAACAAGTGACAAATATTAATAATCCTCAGTTGTCCTTTCTCTCCGTTTTAGCACATAGCCCGATTTTCTCCCTCTCATATCTTTTACCAGTGGGTTTTTTTCCATCAGTGATTATGTTTCATCTCTTCTATAAAGACTCACCAAAATTCATAATTTCTTATTCTAGGATATATCATTTTTTACGACTTCACTTTCTGCATCTAACCATCCAATCTATATTTCTGGATTCCTCTCCCCTAGGAAATAGTCCTTAATTACAGTCTCTTGTATGAAATCACCTCTTCAGTTCCCCACAGGAAACAAGCTCAGGATTCACATATCTCGTAATTCCCAGCCCTTCTTTTTGATAATAACCTGTAGAATAATTTCCCCTTAAATCTATACAATACTCCCCTCCTTTTCTAAAATTTTTCTTAAACTCTTTCTTCTCTAGGCCCATCACCTCAGAAAGAATATCCCGTATGTACCTGATTGCAATAAAATTAGTATAATTTTTCAGTGTCTTCATTATGAAATAAGACCATTAATATCAAGTGGTGAGGCATTTCAAGGAGGCCCCCAAGTGAATGGGTGATTATGGCAGATTTTTTTAATCTCATCAATTGATCAAAGATTCCAGGAGGAAAACAAGATGTCCTCAATTGCAGGTGTCCATTAAATTTGGGTTATTGAAAATCGTTGTCTACTTTAAATTACACATGAACTTCATGGACACCTGTATAGTAAAACAAGTTAGATATTGTGTTTAATGTAAATGCTTAGGCATAATGTAAAAAAACAGTCTTTAAGGACGTCTCTGACAGCGAGCCTTTTTATAATGAGATACCCAGTGCTCCAGGCCCTCTTCTTTCTGCCATTACAGGTGACAGATGAAAATGGGAAGCACTCAAAGTTAGGTTGAACTGGCTTTTTTTAGCTTGATATATTTTAAGCACATCATTTTTTCTGTTTTTGATCAGAAAACTTTACTAATTTACTATGTTCTGCAATTGTGTATATCAATTTTATAGAATGTTTCAATTATAAAGAATATAATTATTCCTAATGAAGGGAGGAATAACATTTTAAATATGTTTCCTAAATCAGAAGAATGGCATAAACATGAAGGTTTCCAAACAGTGAGTCTAGGTGGTGCTCGTCAGTGCCTTCAGCCAGTCAAGCTTGTAGCTAAAAACCTATTCAGCAAACAGTAGCTGAATTAGATTTCAAGGGTATGAAGCAGTGAAGAATGGGAAATTTTAAGAAAAAGTCTCTGAGCCAGAAATATTTTGTAATTGAATGAAGCTATAGGTAAACTTAGAGCTGGGCTTTAAAACATGAAGAAAGTTGTAGTCTATGTTGGTTTAGTGACCCAACCTAGGTACCGTGAAGATTTGGCCCCTCATATGCTAACTGCATAACGTTCCATCAGTAGTAATCCTCTCTTCACTTACAAATGAAAGCATTATAGCAAAGGGTGTACAAATCTATGGAAAATAATTCCTAAATACATTACTGAAATGATGGTAGTAAGTATCGTAAAAATAGCAAATATTTATATACGTGTGTGTGTTCCATTAAGGGTATGACAGAATGATAGAGCAAAACATAGATAAATATTGAGAAAAGGCAATGATGCCAGCATTCGAGTGTTATAGACCACAGAAAAGGGTCTGATTCACGCTCTCATGAAATTTTGAGAGGTTTTCTTAAAGATGTGAGGCCTAAGTATAAAAAACATAAATAAATTAGGAATATTACAAACAAAAGGACTTCCCAAAGCACAGGGAACAGTACATTGATTAAATGTTGGAAATGGGGAGTGTTTCCTCCCCCTGGATATGGTGGGAGGGGAGAATCTATGTGGATCCTAAACTACATGAAAGACGTGTTTTTTGAATGATCTTGGATACCCCTCTTCAATATCAGAGGAAGGTCATCTCAGATTTGAAAACCTCATTTTCTTTCTGAAGATATCTCTATGAAATTAAATAATCATTTCATCATTATCAAGGGAATGAAGCATTTCAAGAGGCCCAGAGTAGATCTAGTCCACAAGTCCATAGTAGAGTTCAAAGCTTTGTAGAATTCACTGTTCAACAAAATTGTATAAGCAAAAATATGTTTTAAGAAGTTTTAGGTAGATTTGTGGATGTTTTATTTAAAAATAGGTTAATAAAAGTTTATGAATTTCCAAATCATATCCCTAACTTCTCAAGATAAAATCATAAATACTAACAAAATTGCCCTTGTTCCACTGTCGAGAAAAGAATGAATATACATTGATAAAACTGTAACTGTAACCCATTACACCTAAAGGGATAGTGCTCGAATAACCTAATTTCCCAGGAGTTCAAGGCATTATTTCAAAATTCTCATTGACCTTAGATAATACTTATGCAAGAAATGTCCAAAATATGAAACCCCTTACTGCTAATCTGTTCTTGGTTTTTCTCCCCAAAAGCCACATGGGGAAAACAATTCATAAAATAAATTAAATCAGCAGCTGCTTGGAGAGTATGCTTTATTTACCCTGAAAAAATACCTTACATTCGTTCCAAGACTTGTTTCGTCTTTCTCCCACCATACAGTTTACCAAAATACTCTCTCTATTTTAAGGTCTCATA